CTGTCTGGCACCTTGGAGACAGTGCGAGGCCGAGGGGTGGTGGGCAGGGTGAGCACCAGCGGGCCAGTAATGTCCAGCTTCTGGTCTTGCCAGTCAGGGGTTTCGAGTTAGATAGTCTGGATGCAAAACAATGTCCAGCTTCTAGTCTTGCCAAGCAGGGGTTTGGAGTTAAGATAGTCTGGATGCAAATTCTGGCTGTTATCTTGGTGGTGGTGGTAGGTGCCGTTGAGTCATCTCCGACTCATAGCGACCTTATGTACAGCAGAACGAAACACTGCCTGGTCATTTATTTATTATTTAGCTGCGTAATTTGGGGCAGATTATTTAACCAGACTCTATTTCTTACTGCTAAAATAGGGATTATCCTATTACCTTATGGTTGTTGTTGTTGTTATGTGCCTTCAAGTCGGATCTGACTCATAGTGACCCCTCCTTGTGTTTCTGAGGTGGTATCCCTACAGAATTAGATTGCCGAACCTTTCTTAGTGGCTGGTGGATTTGAACCGCCAGCCTTCTGGTTAGCAGAAGGCACTATGCCATCGGAGCTCCATTATGGTTGTTAGGGGAGTTAAATTAGCAATGATTTGCAGAGCACCCCTTGCATGATACCTGGCACTTAGGCACTTGGCAGTGTTCCCTTTCCTTGATGGGCACTGGAAGGGGTATAAGAGTAGGTCCTGTAGCACCTTTGCTTAGTACCTCAGGCATTCAGTCTGAGATGGTCTTTCCTAGAGTCAGAATAAAAGGCCTGTGGTCACTAGGCTATGCTGTAGGTCAACATAAGGGCCCTGGGGGTGCAGGGAATGTGACCTTGGAACTGGGCCCAACCCATTTTCCCTGAACCCTCACAGGAGCCGGTGTTATCTAAGGAGCAGCCCGCATTCCAGTATAGCAGCCATGTCTCCCTGCAAGCTTCCAGTGGGCATATGTGGTAAGTGAGCATGTGCTGGGCAGGGCAGCTCACCTCCATAGAGAAGCTGCAGGTCAGAAAAGTGAGAGGGTTACCCATTTCTCAGAGCTTGGGGCTGGGTTAACCAAACTAAGTCCTGAAGTGGGGCTTTATCTGCTACTCATTGTGTGGGACTTGTCTGGTATTTATGACTGTCCTTTTTCCAGTTTTCTGCATCTGTGGACCAATGAAAGCTGATGATTTGTTGCTGTGCTGAGCTGCCCGTGTAGTTGTGTTTTCCCCCCTGGAGTTTCATTCCTTAGCTTGGAAGTTAGTTCAGTCAAGTAGCTTATGCAGTGTACTTCTAAAGGCTGGACCAGGATAGCTATGTGTCTTTTCATGTAGGGCTGGGAGAGGCTGTTAAGCTCTTGCTTACCTGGGTCTATGACAGGGTACCTAACCCGTGTTAGGTACCCTGTCATAGACCCAGCAGAAGTGAGCCAGGCCTGCCTTATCCGGCCTGTGGTTTCAGCTGAGGGCCTGGGGATATCTAGATCCCCAGGAGAGCCTCAGACTCCTGCTAAACCAGCTCCTCTCCGACCTACAGGGGCACCTTCCGCTTTGAGAGACCTGATGGCTCCCACTTTGATGTCCGGATCCCTCCCTTTTCCCTGGAAAGCAATAAAGATGAGAAGACACCGCCCTCAGGCCTTCACTGGTAGGCCAGCTGAGGCTCTGCGTGCCCAGGCTCAGCCCCTCGGCTCTCATCCCACAGTTGCTGCAGAACTCTGATCTTTCCTCATCACGGGCCATAGTGGGTCTCTTAATCCCCTGTGCCATTTGATTGTGACTGTTTGCTCTGAAAGATTCACGTAGGACTCTTCCAGTGCCGGTCTCCTTGTAAGCCCTGCCTACACTGTGTTCCGGTAATCTTTCCACCAGGAACTTTTTGTGTTCAGGGCCTGGAGGAACTTCCTGGCCTGTCACACAAGTTATTTGAATGTGAGGTTTGGTCATTAAACCAGTTTACACCTGGTCATCTTCACAATTTCTGTCCCACGGTCTCAGGCTCCCCTTCTAACCTTTCCTTGTTAATCTTCCAGGGATCTGCCCCATCCTAGGGGCTGGCTGGGCAACTTCCAGGGTCACTGCCTCACCAGTAGGGAGGGGGCTGGGCTGCACTCTTCTTGTTTACCCTCTGCCAAGTACACAGGCAGGTGACAGCATCAGGGTCAAAGGAATGACCTGGCTTCTAGCACTGAGCAGCCATTGGCATCTCTGCCTTCTCCAGGCCTAGAGAGGAGCGAGGCTAGTTGAGTTTCTAGGAACACCGGGCTTTCCAGCTGTGAGCACAAGTTTGTCAAACACCCGAGCCACAGAGGCAGGGACTTGGCTGAGGAGCAGCTTTAGCTATGGATGGTGATTAAGCCAAGCTACTTTCTGAGCTGCTCACAGATCTCCAAGGGTCAGATGTGAGTTATGCTGCATTTTGCCCCATTTCTTACATATTCTAGGGCAAGGGCAGGGATGTGTACAGTAGGATTGAAGGTGTCCTGCCCCCTGACCAGTGTGGCATCTGTTAAACAGGTAGTTTTATTCTGGAAGTAATATTAAACCTCAGTTCCAGCCCTTATTAGTAGTATCCTTAATCTTCCACTAGGGGGCGCCTGGGTTTCAGAACAATTGAGTCCAATTGGTCATGAGACCTAGCTAGAATACACAGTCAAGGTGGTTTAGAGAAGTACAAGAATGAAGCCTATGGCAGTGACCTGGCCAAGCCATACTCACTGTAAACATGGTTTGTACCATTGCAGTGTAACACAATTTTATTAGAAATTAGTGTTTGCTTCCATGAACTATGCTTGAACCACAAAGTATTTCAGTTACATGATACAGGAAAGATTGTCTCATGCTAGGGTCCGTGCCATCCTCTGGCAGTCCTTAGTCAGGCACCAAATCCAACAACCCAGTGCTGGTAAATGTGGATAGCAGGCTTCTGGTTTTCTCAGCAGCTGACAAGAAGGTTTGACCTTCATCCACACTTTTACTCTTCTGGGCTGTTTGAAAAATCCACAGTTGTGAGCTGCTTTCTGATTGGGACTGGGAAACCTTTAAAGAAAATTCCTCAAACCTTTAAGTGACAAAGTCTGATTAAAGAAGCTAAGATCCTTTAAATGATTATCAGTATTTTTCCTAAGACCACAGAGACAGTTTTAGATAAAGTAAGTGCCCAGAGTTCTAGATTGTCACCAGTGAGATAGCTGAGGAGCTGAATGTCAAAGCAGTAAGCACGGGCTAAAGGGATAAAGGATGGAAGAGGTCAAAGGGCTAGCTTTAAATCACCTCAGCGGAGAGCTGGGAATGAGTGTGAAAGGGCTTCAAGGTCAGCTGAGGAAATAGTGCAGCAGCCTAAGGCTGAAACATTCCAGTCTCTGTGGGAAAGCCACAAAGCCAAAGCCTGGATTGGCCAAAGAAAGGGATTTGTCTTCCTCAGGTTACCCCAAGGAGGGTTAGTAGCTGATTACCACGGTGCCTGACCCGAGTCTCAGAACTGATCATACATTCCAGACTGTGACTAAAATGCCCAATTAAAGTTACATTTTCCTCTTCACCCACCTCATGTTATTTCAGGTCTTCATGAGCGTCTACTAACCGTGGGCCTCGCATTTTCCCACTGGCTCCATGGGGTCAGCCATGTAGCTGCTTTACCATAACTGCTTGTTGTGTTATGTGCCGTCGAGTCGGCCCCGACTCATAGCGACCCCTCCTTGGGTTGCCGAGGCAGTATCACTACAGAAGTAGATTGCCCAACCTTCCTTAGCTATAGTAAAAATAGTCAAGAGGGATAAGCTTGATAACTGTCCCTTCACAAGCAGAGAGGTACTGCTGAAGTGTCTGGGCTGCTTTGTCAGGCTGGCTAAACAGCTCCCTCCGTGCTGGCATTCCTTTGGAAAAGAATCCTGATAAGCTGCCTTCTCAGGGCTAAACCAAACAAAGAAAGGGAATGAAAACCAAAGCCCTTAGACTCACTCTTGCTGAAGAGCTGTGCCTGGCATCTCCAATAAGAAAGCAGTGACGAAGGTCTTCAGGTGGCTAGCACTGTTCATGTCATTCCTGTTTGGAGACTCACCACTTGGCAGAACCATCCCAATCAGAACACAAAATAAACACATGGGCCCTGGGCCCTGGGAAGTATGGCTAAGCACATGCCTCTCTATATAGGGGCTACCAGGAGTACAGGGCTGTGGGTTCTCTGCCCTCGGCCGATGGGCCCGCAGTCCCAGCATTGTGCACTATGCAGTGCCCATGGGCCCTGGAGCCCTCCTACTGCATCTGCTCCTAGACATAGCAGCTCCTGGCCAATGGCTCTTTGGCTTTACAGTTAATGAGGACAGTGTGCTTGGGGCTCAGTGCATTCAAGGACAAAAGGATCAAATAAGAGCAGTTATGTTAGACTATAGGAGCCAGTCTGTGACTCTTAGATGTGTAGTAAAAAATGTCTTTTCCCAAGGATGCCGTTAGGACGACAGGCCCCAACTTACGCATCCTTGGGGCTCTTTAGGCTGGCTGCTTGGTCAGTTTTGGCAAAGCCAAAACTAGTCAGTGTGTACTGCTTCCTCTATCCCTTTCTTCAAATGGGTTCTGCAGGGAAAAGGGGACTAGGGTTAGAAAAAGAGGGTACATGTCAGAGCAAATACAAATCTCCTGAATAAAAGTACAAAGTGCTTTAAGAAACAGATCCCAAAGACATCAAGAAGGGCCAAGAGTTCTTCTACCTCAGCCAGGGTCTTGGCACCCTGGAGGGGTGGCAGAAAATCCTAGTCCTTTCATTATTAGACTTAAAACTATTCAGTCTCTAAGTTATTTTTTAAAAAACCAAACACCAAGCTTGTGCTTAAACACCTTAGGAGAAAAGGAGCCCCACCCTCTAAGAGAAACTGGGCCTCTACAGCACCAGAAGCTGCCCTTCCCGCAGAATGAACCCCTGTTCCTCACGGGCCTCAGCTAAGGCCTAAAGGGTAGCCCTTCAGTATGGGACAGGCTGCTCAGAAAAGGGCCCAGGGGAACAGTCTCAGCAGAAGGTGGCAGAAGCTGCTCCCTTGAGGCAGGAGACATGACTCAGTCCTCTTGAAGTGCTCAGGGAAGCAGGGCAAAGCAACGTGGTCTCTCCTTTGCCCAGGCCCGCTGACCTCCAAGGGAGGGCCTGTCATGCCTTTGGGTGCTGGAGCAGAGACCCAGCCAGTGGCAGCATGGGGTGGCTGCTGGGGTGGGATTCCATAGGAGGGGAGACAGGCCCTCCTGCACCCTGACTCCCTCAAGATCTTGTCAGTCCCGATGGGCAGACTGGTGGCCAAGCTGCCGGTCATCATACGTGCTATAGCGCTTGACGTGGATGCGGCGGACTCGGTCCCGCAGTTCAAAGGTCTCCTCATCTTCACTGGGGGAAGCCTGGCTGCGGCTGCGGCTTGTGGCTTCCAACAAGGAGTTGTCAGGGACTCGGGGGGTCTCATAGAGAAGGACATTGAGTGTTTCCTCATAGATTCGAGCCTCTGGGAATTCCACCTGGGGTGAGGAGGACAAGAGGACTCAGTGAGTTTCATCCCTGACAGGGGGCAGCATGTCAGAGCTCTCAACCCTGTGCTGGCTCCATAGGTCTCCTTATGTCTCAACAGACAGATGGCTTTCTCTGTCATGAAGGAGGGCAGGTCTCCATAAGAAAGTGTGAGGAAATGTACTCTATGGATATAAGGATACAGAATGCTAACACCTTTCCCACCCCCTCCCTGCCCAGGACCAATGGACTAGTATGCATGTAGTTTAGGGACCTGTGGGCTTTGTGGTCAGGCCCTAGGTACAATACAGCACCACCACTTACTAGCTGTGGGACCTTGGGCTTAACTATTCTGTGCTTCAGTTTTCATATAAGTGAAACGGTTGCTGTCTACCTCACAGAGTTGTTGGGAGCATTATGTGAAAGATATAAATAGCTTAGTAGAGAGCCTGGCACATACTAAATAAATTTAAAAAATATATACTAAGGGGTGCTCTGGTGGCTTTGTGCCTAAGGCATTTTGACTGCTAACCAGAAGGCTGGTGGTTCAAACCCACCAGCCACCCCTTGGAAGGAAGGTTGGGCAATCTACTTCTGTAGTGATACCACCTCAGAAACACAAGGAGGGGTCACTATGAGTTGGATCTGACTCGATGGCAGTACGTTTGCCTTTTTTTTTTTGGTTTGGTAGCATAGTGCCTAAGGCATCTGACTGCTAACCAGAAGTCTGGTGGTTCAAACCCACCAGCCACTCCTCAGAAGGAAGGTTGGGCAATCTGCTGCCATAGAGATACCACCTCGGAAACCCAAGGAGAGGTCACCATGAGTCACATCGACTTGACGGCAGCGAGTACAGGTAATAGAAAGCAGTTGCTGTCATTAGTACTTCCACAGCATTTTATTGCTTGATGTAGTGGGTCTAGCCCCCATGATCAGTCTGGAGGAAAAAGGGCTGGCAATGAAGAGACCCGAATTCTAGCCTAGCTTGCTGTCATCTTCACCTGCTTCCCCAGCTGTCAAATGAGAATGGTTTTAGCCCTATCTCACAGGTGCGCTGTGAGGGGCTCAAAGAGTTCATGAAAGAGAAAGCACTCTGAAAAGGTGACAGGCATTGCTGCCACTTCCACAGCTTCCGCCCCCCTCAACACCCCCCTAAACCCAAGGAGACCTGCCCCAGAACCCTGGCTCCACTAACGTCGTGCACACAGGAGGCTCCTGTGCTAATTGCTCCCCTCTCCTCCCCAAATTAAAAGAAACAGGAATCAAGGCCACCTTCTCTTAGCTGTCCTCCCCTGACCTTCAGTAGATCACTGAGCTGAAAGTACTTTGTTAATCTGGGGCCAAGAAGGGGCTACAAAAGCTTGGGTACTTGAACCCTTCCTACCCACACTATTCTTCCCCAAATGAACTGCCATTCCACACTGGCACTCTGCTGACTTCTTAACTCATGAAGGCAGCAACTCTCTGGGGAGGATGCCTTCTGCTTGCAACCTGGAAGGGGTTAACAGAAATACTACCATCACCTATTAAATACTGCATATGTGCCTGACACTGTGTTGTTGCAGAGGTTGTCAAATGGTCAGGAACATCTGATTAGTGGATGCCAGAGTGGAGATTTGAACAACATTCTGTCTAACTTGGAAGTCCAAGCTATTCCCACTATACCACACTGCTTCTCCTATGGGTTTTCTCATTTCATTTTCTTAAATAACCAAAACCCACCGTCATCGAGTTGATGCCAACTCATAGCAACCCTATAGGACAGACTAGAACTGCCCAGAGTTTCCAAGCTGCGTATCTTTATGGAAGCAGAGATGCTGGTGGCTTCGAACTACCGACTTTTTGGTTCGTTGCCCAATGCTTTAACCACTGTGCCACCAGACCTCCTTCATTTTCTTAAATCCATACTATCAACCCTGTGTTTGCAGATGAGTAAACTGAGACCCAGAAGGTTTAAATGGCTTGTCCAAAGTCAGGAAACTGGTAAAAGGCAGAGCCAGAATTCAAACCTGAATTGGGCCAACTTCAAAGACCTAGTCCTTCTCACCTCACCAGATTGTTTTCTCTGGTCAACTGCCCCTGCCTCTTGATGACAGGAACACAATTCCTATTCCATTTCCCAAACTCCTCGTTTGGCTTTTGTCCTCACCCAGCATCACACTGTGTTTGGAAAAGAAACAGAGCAATACACATGCTTTTTGTTCCTTGTGGTAAAAGGCTCAGATGCATTGGGTGGGCCCTGTCCTCCCCAGCTGGTGTATGTCTGGCCCTACCCACGCAGACAGAACCCCCACCCCCGTACCTTGGTTTGCTTCTTCTCTGTGGCATACACAATGGAGGTGCAGCACACCTCGGCCAGCTTACGGCCCTGGCCGTAGAAGGACCAGCAGCAGATCTCATCGCCAATGACGTCCTTGATGAAAAGCACACGGCCATTGAAGCGCAGGGACAGCTTGTCAAACAGCTCGATGTTTTTTAGCAGGTGGTCGTCGGAGTTGCTGAAAAACCCATGAGGGCCACAGGCCTGGGAATGAGATTCCCACACAAGGGAGGGTGCTAGGGCAAGCTGGGCCCTCCCATCCCATCCCTTCCCCTATCATGCTGAAATGATAAAAACTTAGGATGCCAAAAGGCCAGGAAGAGAAAGGGTCACTCACAGGGTACCCTCTGGGTTTGGGGGCCTGTGAGGAAAAGGAGTTGAATTGGTCTGAGTTAAAGCAGAGAGAACTGAAGGAGGGAGATCTCCCTTTGTTCAGCCCAGAAGAAAGGAGATGTGCTACTACTTTGGCAAGCACTTCTTCCTTGCTGTGGGGGTGACACTGGCAATGTGTCTGTCTACACAGAGCTACTGGGGAGGAGCGAGTGTGGGGCAATTTGGGACTCTAAGCCTGCAGCCACCTGGATGTACCTCGCTGCAACCTGCTGAGAGAACACTGAGGGGCAGGGGGAGGTCACCCAGCTGCGAAAAAGAAAGGCTGGCTGAGGAAGCCTCCCAGCCCATTGGCTTCCCAGCATCCCTCCCTGACTTCCTGAGATGATGCATGTGAACACATCTGGCAGGCTGCCTACCATGACATGTAGTAAGGGGGAAGTACATGTTAATCATTTATATTTCAGCCAGGGTCCTGAACTACGTTCCAAATGCCTCTGCCCTGACCTCCTTTCTACTCCCCTACTCTCCTTAATGCAACCTATTCCAAGATCCAGAGCATGCTGACTGTGCTGGGAGTATGGCAGCTTCCCACAGGCTGCTGACCAATTTCTACTCTGGCTGTTCAGCTCTTCTGTGGGGGTGACCCTGGCAAGGTGTCTGTCTACATGGAGCCACTGGGGAGGAGTTGGGGGGTTTGGGCCCTTTTCCCTGCCCCACTTCCACAGCAGAGACACCCCCCCATACCCCTACCTGGTATAGGAATACTTGTTGTTGCTTCTGTTGTACAGCAGCTTCACCACGGGCTGTGAAGGAGGACAGAGTTAGGGCTGGACCGGGCCTTGGCAGCCCCGCCCGCAGTCCTGAGAAGTGCTAGTACCTTGGTGGAGGATTCGATGAGCCTCTCCTCCTCCTTTAGGGATGTGATGATGGGGATGTTGCACATGGGCTGGTACGAGTCCTTCTTGTCCTGAGGGACACACAGAGCAGAGAGTACTCCTTTGGGATCTTCTGCTTGCCAGGCTTAGCCAGGTACCCCACGGGCCATCAGAGCCCCTCTGCTACAGCCACTCCCTGCTTGGCAAGGAGGGTCAGACAGAGATCCTGAGCCAATAGCAAGCAGACCCCATTTTTAGAAAACCCCAAATCTAGATACCTACCTACGCATACAAACTAGAAGCAGGGCCTATTCACATTGCATGAGTCCTTCACCTTACTGACTGGCTGTGAAGTCCCCTTGGAAATCCCTTTAAATAGGTTTCCAACTCATCCACCATACCTCCCACACATCCTTCCAGAAACCAGACCCTTAAGTCCCTAAAGGAGAGGGGTAACGCCTGACCTCCTCAACCCACCACAACTCTGCCCCTGTACCTGCAGGGCACTCTGGCACATGGTCACCAGTCCCTGAATGAGGTAATATTTTGCTTCGGCCATCAGTTCCTTGATCTCTTGCCGGTTTTGAGGGAGGGTGATGGTGTCATCTCGGAGGTAATTCAAAATGGTGCCAAAGTGCTTTCCACATCGGTCTATGAGGATCCAGCCTGAGGATGCAGACCCACAGAATTACTATTTGCTCCAGGTGCCTTAGAAATAGGCAGTAGGCAAAGGCCACTGATGGACCTGGTGGCAGGGACCAAGAGAAGGAGCTGCATGAGCATGAGGCCCATGGCACAACAGTGGCAGAAGTGGGGACAGGGCTTCCAGCTCTCAGGCCCATGGCTGCTCTTAACCCCTCCACCCTGGAACCAAGAACTGGAACCAGGGTCTGCTGAGGCTTGCAGAGGTCTAACCTCAGGAGCACTCAGGCCCACCCTCTGGCTACTGCCCAGCAACCACTGCCCACTGCCTGGGCACTACAGTGATGGTTCTTATGTGACTCCAGTCCTACGAGAATATAAAACAAGTACAGATCTCCTCCCTGGAAAAAAAGCATAAACATACAACATTCTATGTATAATTTCAAAGGACAATGAAGCTCTACAAAGGACTCCAGGTGAAGAAGTTCTAAACTAGGTGAGTCGAGATTCTGGACCTTCCAGGCTTAAGCCTGCCCTGACATCACTTCTTCAGGAACAACTCCTTTCCTCCCCACCCACTCAACAAGCCTTGATGCCACACCTTCTTTGTCGGTTAGCACTTCCATTCGTCCACTGAACATGGCCTTGAGCATGGTGTCATGCCGGGTTAGTGCCCGCACGGTGGTGTAGTACAGGGAGCCACCAACATTGAGCTGGACATACTTGTTGCCTAGGCCTCCACCCTTGAAGCCACTCAGTTTGGGTTTGGTCCCTGAGGCTGGGCACAGACAGGTATCTCCCGACATCTCCCGCTGTAGGTAGATTACCACACGGCAGGAGGTAGGCTTGGAAGGCTCCGTTGTGGTGGAAGGGGTCACGGGTGAGTGGCCAGTGGAGGCCAGAGCCTCATACTCTCAGCACTGTGGGCAAGAGATGGGAGAGAAGGCAGGAGTTAACAGAGTAGAGTCCTCAAACCAGGAGGGGACAACAATAGAAACCCAACCAGCCAGTGATTCTCTCCTTGTTAAGTCCAAGCACTCCCCAGCAGAGGCCAACTCCCTAGGCCTGGCTCTGGTTACCTCACTAGGTCAAGTCAGCCTCCATGAAACTCAGCTCAGCTCAGGGTGGCAAGAAAGACAAACAAGTCCTTGGAACTGGTCAGAGAGGGCCTGAGGAACAGACAGACAGAGTAGAAGAGCTCATCCTGCAGAACCTACCAGTCAGACTCCCAGTTGCTGGGACTGGGAATCTAGCCTGCCTACAGAGTTTCCCCGGAGCCAGAAGGATGGGAGGCACTTCCTTTTGACCAGATTCCATTCTCAGGGGCGGCCAGCACCGAGTGCTTAGTCTGAGGACCACCTGAGGTCTAGTTCCTGGCAGGAAAGTGAAAGCAGGTTCAGGAGAGAAAGGAGTGAGGCAGGCAGGAAGGAGCCGGCACACTGCCCTTAGCAGAGCTTCCCTGGCTCCAGCTGGGGGTTCCTGTCTATCCCATGTTCCTGAAATTGTCACTGTTTACAGGATAGATCAACCACAGGATGGTTATTTTCTCTTTTTTTCCTGAGAGGGGGACTAGCCCTATCTCTTCCTCGCTTCCCTCCCAACAAGGGCCACAAAAGACCAGATGATAAATCTAAAAACGATCACGTGACTAATAAATTGAAGTTCATAGGAGAGAGGAGCAAGGAAAGAAAAGGAGGGCAAAACCAGGCTACTCTTCATGATTTAGATTCTGTGCTTTTTTCTTTCTTTCTTTCTAAAGAATCAATAAAATTCACTCACTGAAGAATAAAATAGCTAACATTCGTTGCATGTTTACTACATGCCACGTATTAGTCTAAGCATTTAATACATATTAAACCCTCAAACCAAACCTGTTGGTGTCAAGCAATTCCAACTCATAGTGACCCTATAGGGCAGAGTAGAACTGCCCCATAGGGTTTTCAAGGTTGTTAATCTTTACTGAAGCAGACTGCCACACTTTTCTCCCACAGAGTGGCTGGTAGGTTCCAACAGCTAACCTTTCATTTAGCAGCCGAGAGCTTTAACTACTGCAACACTAGGGCTCTTTAATGTATATTAGCTCATTTAATCAATTTAGTAAAACAAAACAAAAACGAATAACACATCCTTATGTTATGCAGTAGGGAGAGTTGAAGAGATATTGTCATTTCCCTTAAGGAGGTCAAAGCCAACATGTTAGCAAGAATAAAGTGAGAGCATTTAAGCCCCTACTGTGTACTAGGTCTGAGAATACAGAAGAGAACAAACAAGTCATGTCCTCATGGAGTTTACATGTTTATGTGTGTAACTAACAAAGAACAAGAAACTAATAAACAATTTCAGAAAGTGATAAGTGCAATAAAGATAATAAAACAGTGAGAAGACAGTGACAAGGGAAACACACTAATTAGTTAAGGGACCAGGGAACTCTGCTCTAGGAAGGTGACATTTAAGCCAAGGTCTGAAAGCGTTCCAGATGGATGAAAATACAAAGTTCTTCAGCTAGAAACAAGTACGAGGAAAAGAAGTAAGGCCAACATGGCTGATACACAGAAAGGAGGGGAAAGCTGATCTGATGTAAGATCAGGAAAGGCAAGGACCAGATCCTATTAAAGAGTTTGGATTTTATAGTAAATGTGATAGGAATACAAGGGAGGGTTTTAAGCAGGGGACAAGAGATGGGAGAGAAGGTACTTATGTTTTGAAAAGATTACTTTGGCTGTTGTGTAGAGAATGGATTACTGTAAGAATGCAAAAGAGGAAGTGGGAAGACCACAGGAAGCGGGAAGACCAGAGGAAACAGTAGTCTAGGCAAGAGATGATGATGGCATGGACTGCCACCACAATAATGGAAACTAAAAAAAAGTGAAATTACCTCCTCGAATCCTTACAACACACAGGAGTTTACAGATGCTCATCATCTCTTGTAAATGCAAACCAGATGCAGTGCCTTGGTTTTAGTTTACTGTTCTGGGCTCCAAATAGTGCTCACCACAATGCCATGCATATTTTAAGTATTTAATATATGTCTGTTTGTTAGCCTGAAACTGTGCCAGAAAAGATTTAGGTAGACTCCTGGGAAGAATATGCAGTGCAAGGAAGGGACAGAGTAGGTACTGTATGAAGTACTGAATTTCTCTGTAGACTGGTCCAGGAGATGCTGCCATTTGTCTCAGGGATGGGACTTGGAGAAGCTGAGCCCTGACCTGCACTGTCCAATCAGTAAGTAACACTTAAAGGGGAGATCACCTTACCTTCCTAGCCAATGCCAAAGGAATGAAACCTCCCCTGAACAAGTTTTAGGAAATTCCCCATGTGTTTTAAGTCTAGCCCCAGTTCTCCCAGGATCAAAGAAAGTACACTTGAATGTTCTGCCAAAGCAAAGGAACTCAAAAGGCTAGGTTAGCCAACAGAGGAAGAACTAATTTTTTTTCTTTGTCCAGAACTAATCTATTCCCTTTCCTACAAAAGCAACTGCTTTGGGCCCCTGGATGACGTCAGCTCAGATTCCGCCCAAACCAATGGGTTCCAGGAATCCTGTGTCAGGTAACGCCCAGAAAGTAATTCCAGGGAGAACGAAGTTTCCACTGATAGCTTCAATGCTCTTCCTTCCGGACTTTGTGTGTGGATATTTGGGGACGCCTGGGGGTAGGGGCGTATCCGTGTGGGAACCCGTGCAGAAATAAAGGGCAATCAGCCACCACCGGATTAGGTGGTGAGGCCGGATTAGGTGGGGTCCTGGGGAATCAGGAGCGAGAAATCTGTCACACAGGGGATGGTGGGGATACCAATCTTGGCAGGATGGGGTGGCTCTAGTAGAAATCTTAGGTGTGAATCTTAGCCTTTATTCTAAGGGTCCTGGGGATAGAGCGAGACCCAAGCTCTCCTGAAGCCAGTGTGGAGTCACCCTCAGCACACACTCCTCCCCACTGCCGAGAAACCACGATCGGTTCTGATACCCACCCCCAGAGGAGATTTGAGCGCACCCTCTCCCCTACGCTCCTTTCCCTCTATACTGAGGGGGGCCCTTTTTGCTCCAGTTCCAGCTCTCACCGTCCCCGGGGACGCCTCACCCTTCTCTCAGCTGGGCTTCGGGTCGACTCCGTGCCGCCCCTGGACTGTAGCCGCCTGCCCACCCGCAATCCCTAGCCTTGAGCTCACATCCTCCGCCAGGCGACTCCGCCCAGAGCCGAAACCCAGCCCTGCCTGCCAGGGAGCCAGAGACTACAACGCCCGGCATACCCAGCATGCCAGTAAGGGGGGGTAGAGATCGAAGGCCTTCTGAGTATTCCGAGGTGAGACCACAGATACTTCCGGCAATCTTGCCGGCGCAAAGGCCTCCGGGTCTTGTAGGCAGTCACCCTTACTCTCAGGTTTTTGTTTCCCAGCAGGCCATGTGGGTGGGAGGTTGTGTTTCCCGTGTCAGGTAGTGACGTCATGGGTAAACAGGCCCTGTAGCGGTGGCAGCGGCTGAGGCAGGGAGGCAGGGAGGCAGGCAAGCAGGCGGGAGGAGTACTGCTGACCGGAGAGCGAAGCTGCCGCAAACATCAGCCTGGACCTCAGAGCGCCACCGTTACAGGGCCTGAAGGTAGGCCTTGAGTGCGGGTCGGGGAATGCGGGCTCGGCTTAGTGCTCTCGAGACTAGGGGCAGAGTCGGACGGACCCGAGGCGAGATAAACTTGACAGGCCCCGCGCCCTGAGGCAGTCCTGGGCCAAAAGTAACGTGGGAATTCCGACTGACTCTTTGGCAGGTGTTTTCACACGTAGCTTAGGCCTGGAGGTTATACACGTTCTTGCGCGCAATGATTTTATGAGGAAATTGTGGCTTAGGTAAGTACAGGTTTACAAAGTTAAGAAAGAGCCAGCTCTGTCACCCAGGTCTTCCTAACTTGATGCCCAGTGCCCTTTCCTTCACTGGGTAGAGTATACTGTGCCCGGCTGGGCTGTAGGAGGGCGGAGGGAGGGGAGAAGGAGAAGGAGCGAGGGGATACGGGAGAGTGCCCTGGCCATCATTCTCGGGGAACTCAGTCTCGGCTCTTTTGTCATGTGTTCTTCAGATGTCCAGACACGCGTGAGTGGCAGGAGTTAAGAGAGAATCTGTTGGCTGCGAACCCTCTCCCTCCACTTCTTTCTCTTGTCTTACCCATTTTGTTAATTATCCCCGCCATCCATTCAGTTGGCTCAACACAGATACCTGGGAATCATGCCTGACTCCCTCGTTCATCTCTCAGCCCCCACGTTCAGTCAATACCAAGTCCTATGGACTCAACTTGCAGAGCATCTGAAATCTGAACACTTTTCACCAGTTTGCCTTGGTCACCGTAATAGCCTCCTGTTTGCTTCCACAGTCATTCATTCCACATTTACTGAGTGCCAATTACGTGCGGGACCATGCTACTAGGGGTACAGGGTTGAACAAGGTGGTATAGCCACCCCGACCCTCTTATTCTCTCCACTTCACTCTTCATCCTGACCCACAGGGATACAGTGCAACCTGTGAAAGCCAGAACTCAAGGGTACTGGCTTATTTTTCCTGGTCTCACAAGTTTTCCACCTTTGCCAGGGTGCGGTCTTACCACCTTTTTTATCGCTTATTTTGCTGGAAAATATTTGAATTTTCCTTCTCTGACAGGTTTCGCCTTGTGTAGGTTCTGGCTTTCACAGATTTTACTGTATACCTAAAACGCAAGTCTGATTATGCTATCTTGCTGAGAATCCACTAGCTGCCCATTGCCTGTAATATAAAATCTAAGCTCATTACTGTGGCTTTCAGAGCCCTCCATGGTCCAGCTCGGGCCTTCCCATCTAGCTGCATCTTCTTCCACTCTCTCTTTTGCTCACGATGCTTCAGTCACAATGGCCTCTCAGTTTTTGGACTGCTTCACATTTCTTATAGCCTCAGAATCTTTACACATGCTGTTCTTTCTGCCTGGAATGCCTCCTGTTCCCCTTCACTTTGGCAAACTTTTGAACATCTTTCATGTCTCAGCTTAAGTGTCACTTTTTCAGAGAGACCTTTGTTGACACTCGCTCCCCATATGAATTATGTCCTCCTACACCTTTTCCGTGGGAGCTCTGGTAGCATAGTGGCTAAGGCACTGACTGTTAACCAGAAGGCTGGAGGTTCAAACCCAGCAGCCACTCCTCAGAAGATAGGGATACTGCCTCAGAAACCCAAGGAGGGGTCGCTATGAGTCAGGTCTGACTCGGAGGCACATAACAACAACAACACCTTTTCCATAAAGATTTATAGTCTTGGAAACCCAGTGGGCTGTTGCTGTGAGTTAGGGTCAGCTCTCAAGTGGCAGTAGGTTTTCTGGGTTTCACCTTCATGAGCCCTGGCGGCACAGTGCTTAAAGCACTGGACTGCTGACCGAGAGGTCAGGTTTGAACCCACCAGCTGCTCCTTGGGAGATAGACATGGTGGTCTGCTTCCATAAAGATTTACAGCCTTGGAAACCCTATGGCACAGTTTTACTCTCCTATAGGGCTGCTATGAGTTGGAATTGACTTGATGGCAGTGGGTTTGGGTTTTGGTTTGTGGCCACACCCTCACTAGCACTGTGGGCTTTTTCTCATACTATTATTACAATTTGTGATTATTTGCTTACTCTCTGTCCAGAGTTCAGGAACTAAAGCATTTTGTTCACTGCTTGATCCCCAGAGCAGAGATTCAAGAGATATTTCTGATAAAACATCAAGTAGATTTAAATACACAGACTGTATATGTAAATATAACAGGACAAGTAGGAAGATAAATCTTTTTAAAAAGCCTGGTTATAAGGAATCTCAGTATGATTAAAATGTTTTAAAGGAAGATGCTAGCTCACTTACTTTAGTGGGTTCCAGTGAGGCCAAAGTCCCTGGGCCACAGTCAAGTACAGGAAGCCCATAGACATCTGTTAGTTGGCCCACACAGTGTTGAGTGTTTTTTTTTTTTTCTCCCTTACTTTAAATTTTTAAGTTAGACACTGAAAGTCTGTAATTCTGGTCTCCTTGGAAATGGGAAGTTCTGGCAACAGTGGGACTTTCCCAGCCATTGCTGTTATGGAGCACCTGCCCCAGGCAGTCACTGTCGGACTTACCCCTTCAGAACAGTCCTTCTCAGGAAGCTGAAAGGGAAACTGGTGAGGCCTGGGGAGGTGGGAGCAGAGGGAAGGGGCTAGTGCAGGGCCAGGTGACTGGTTACCTTTGGAACACTTGGGGCTTGGGGGCTGGTATAGCAGCCAATGATTAGAACTAAGTAGCATTGCCTTCCTTGCTAGTCAGGGCATGCACTGTTTCTGTTTATTGGTTTTTGCTTATTTCTTAAACCAGAACGAGGGTGAGTTTAAAGTGTTGCTGTCCAAGAATTGAGGCATCCTTTGGCCAGGCATGTGAGGCGACATTATCTCTGTTGGTTTTCTTTGGTTACAGAAAAGGAAAAAAGTCCTGCCTCATTAGCTTGGCACACAGGCTCGTCCAGGTTTGGCTCCAGTCCAGCTTTCACTGCATCCTCTTTCCCTTGATCCTCTGGGCAGGACAGGCCCATTCAGTGACTTCAGACCTTTTGTCTCTATTGCTTTCTCTGCTTGGAATGCCTTTCTCTGGCCTCCGTATGTGGTACATTCTTGCTGATCTTCATTCCTTTTTGTGTTTTCTGCTAGGGACAGGCTGACCCAAATTGGGGTTCCAATTCAGGCAAGTGTGCAGCACCCTATGGTATAGATTATGGGTAATATTCTTATTCCTGGTTGCTTATATTTTAACCCTAGTTTTTACTTCACCCAGGTTTCTTTCATTTGTTTTTTGTGTTGTCCCAGTACATGTATTTAAAAAGGCTTTTCAAGTCCTTTTGGGTACATAAATAGGATAAATAAACACGTTTCATGGCTCATGACTTAGTTTAGATGTCACTCTCTCACCTGCCAGTTAGCTGCTCTGTCCTCCTGCTCTGTCGTGATGTCTGTATAACAGCACTTAACACAGTATAGTTTTCCACTTTACATGTCTGTCTTTCTCCAGCTAAACTTTGTGCTCCTTTGAGGGGGACAGTGTTGCATTCATCTTTGCACTCCTGGCATCTAGCAGTGTTGGCATATAGTAGGCACTCAAGAAATGTGTTTTGAATGAAAGATGCCTGTGACAAGCAACTGGACTTTATTCTTACCTGACCCTTGCTCCTGAGACACGCCTCTCCTGGCTGCCACTGTCATCCCTTCAGAGCAGAACTTCTCTTCTCTGAGGGAGCCAGAAGGGAAACAGGTGAGGCTCAGAGAGGTGGAGGCAGAAGGAAGTCAAGCCTTTGGAACATCTAGGATTTTGGTATTGGTGTTCGGGGGCAGGAGCAGGGCTGGGCCGGAAGCAGGTATTTCCTCGGTGGCTGGGAAGTGAATGGGGATTGGGGCTGGTTTCTTTACAGCTATGGCCAAGGACATCCTGGGTGAAGCAGGGCTGCACTTTGATGAGCTGAACAAGCTGCGGGTGCTGGACCCAGAGGTTCCCCAGCAGACCATAGAGCTCAAGGAAGAGTGCAAGGACTTTGTGGACAGTGAGTGTCACTTGGGGGGACATGGCTACTCAGCTTTGAGCTGTTCCAACCACATCCCACCCCTACCCTGACTGTGGCTCTTGGCGTGGCTCTCTGGAGGTTGAGCCTGGCCTACGATTCCTATGTGTCATCACCAATCTGCCTGCCCTCCTCTTTTCCTCTTACGTAGTCCCGTGCGAAGCACCAGTCAAAACGCTGGGGTAGTGAGTGGGGAACGTGTCTTTTAGATATGCTGTCTTTGATTTATTTTGTTCTGAGAAACTTTAAACTTAACGGGGGCTGGGGGAAATAGAATTATGTGCTCATGATTTGATTTCTTGGGAGAAATAGTGTTCTCAGTGTCACGCTTTTCATTATTTGGAGTTGAAAGTGGTAACTGAAATCTCTAGAAACAGTTTAACACGTAATGAAGTCATCTTTTCACCAGAGATCTCCAGGAAGCCGCCTGTCCCAGCAGTCATGCAAGCCCAGTGCCAGTGAATGCAAAGCCAAGTCTAGCCATAGCAAGCGATTTCTGAGCCTTCTGGGGACTCCCCGGCTTAATTAGGGAAAGGTAGCTTGGCTCCTGTTGCCAGTCTTCCTGTGATAGCTGTGCATGTTGTCCCATATCTCTGAGCCTTTGTTTACCCTTCAGTAAAATGAGGTTCCACCACACCAAGTACACTGAAAAAAAAGAGAGAGATTAGATACGGAAATGCTTGGAACTCCTTTTTAGCTCTGGTAACAGGTGGAAAGCCCCCACCCCACCATTCACTGATATCTGTAGTATCTACAGTCCAGAGATAGCACTCATATTCTGAGCTCACTAACACAGCCTGTTGTGCTTCCTGCCACCCTTAGTGAAGCAGGATCAGGATCCATATGGATAGGCCCACCAGGAGGCTGGTGCCGTTATAGTCTGAGTTAACAGCTAGTGGGTGACTCACGGGCATTCGAGGTCCGAGTATGCCTGGTCTAGCTCCGGGCACCTGGCTCACCCTTTTCTAGTTTCAGACTGAGGACAGGAGACTTAAGGCTAGCAGGCAATGAGCTGTTTTGGCACAAATTAGAAGAGGTAATTAAGCTCTGCCCTTTCACCCCCTCAAAGGGAGCATTGAGGAGGAAGTGATGCTGGGAAAATAAGACATTTTATATTTTGTTCTTTCCCTAAAAGAAATTGGCCAGTTTCAGAAAATAGTTGGTGGTTTAATTGGGCTTGTTGACCAACTTGCCAAAGAAGCAGAAAATGAGAAGATGAAGGTAAGATTAATATATTTTCTGTCTACATCTTGGCCTGGGACTCTAGTTCCCAGCTTCTCAGTCTTCTGCCCTCTTGATATGTTTTGTTGGGAGAGTGGTTCTTCTATTAAAACAAGATAATCATAATTCCTGGCTCAATTAACTCTTGGATTCATATATGATAGTATACTTTCTTTATTTCATTTGATCTTCACATTAATACAGTGATAGGTACTTTTACCCTCATTTTATAAATGAAGAAATTAAGGGTTGTAAGGCATAGTTGACTTGGCAAAGATCACAAGGCTAAACGGCACAGCAAACAGGCCAGTGAACACCTGTGTGTCAGTTTCAGGGGATACTCCTAGACCCTGCCTCAAGGAGCTGCAGGTCAGTTGTAGAATCTCAAATCTACATATCTGGAATTTTGGGGCCATTAGGTCCACCCCCCATTATTTACCCAAAAGCTCTGGGGCTTGACTTCCCCTCTGGGCACCAACACATCAACCCCAAAACAGCCCTTCTGCATGCTGACTTAATGCAGTAGCCAGCTTTGATGCTATGATCTTCTTTGGCAATACCATATTTTTCTAGGCCATCGGTGCTCGGAACTTGCTCAAATCTATAGCAAAGCAGAGAGAAGCCCAACAACAGCAACTTCAGGCACTAATAGCAGAAAAGAAGATGCAGCTAGAAAGGTAAGTTCTGATGTAAAGCAAGTTCTTCACTCAAATTCTACTTTTTCCTCTGGAACAATCACCTTTCATCCTTATTCTTCATTATTGTTTTCCCAGGAAGTGTTTTACTTGTCCCATCCTAATTCAGAGATTTTAAAAGTGAAATAAAATTACAATTGATGGGAAGGCAGTAGGAAACCTGTTAACATTAAACAGCCAGTCTCTGGTGACTTGAGAGCATGGGAGGATGAACGGTAGATTGGAAGGTTTAGCCACAAGGGTCTGCAGAGTTGAGTGGTTCTCTGAAAGGTGGAGCCCCTCCTCTCAGGGCTGGAAACTTCTCACAGGTGCTCATGGTTAGGGCATCCTTTCTGTTTTCTTTCCTCTTGCTGTCACTTCTTCATTCTGAACTCACACCATTTCTTGGAATCATTTATATCTCCTATATCCTTTTCTAGAAGAATTAATTCAAGGTTTATTTCACCCATTTTTCAGGGCTTCTTAACAATTTTGTTTTTCAGGTATCGGGTTGAATATGAAGCTTTATGTAAAGTGGAAGCAGAACAAAATGAATTTATTGACCAATTTATTTTTCAGAAGTGAACTGAAATTTTTCATTTTATAGCAGAAGGGTAAAAAAGAAAAAAAAAGAAACCAAACCAACCTCTGTACCATTCCATGACTTGTTGACTAATGACTCAAGTATGTCGTGTGAGACACTGTGTAAGAAATGCATCTGTGAAGCAGTAACACAAATTTTGGGGACCTTGTTTTAAATAGCATCAGGGCGTATCTGCTGCAAACACTGGTGCCGTGGCTGCCACGGAGGCACAATTTCTTACCCCTGATTCTTAGTCTCCACGAAGCAATCTATAAACTTTGATCTTTTTTTTGTAAATCTATAAAGCTTTGGAAGAGCAAGCAATAAATTATTGTTTTCCAAAATGGCTTGATCTGCCTCTTTCCTTGATACCCCTGATGTACAGTTAAGAGCCTTGTAAGAAGACCCTAGACACTATCCTCTAGTCCACAAAATAAGCCAGGCAGTGGTCAGCAGCGACTTTTATTTGGACCAAACATACACAAGTCAGATGATATTACCAACAGTGAGACCAGATATGGCCTGAGAGAGAAAAACAGAGGGACTGACTGGGATCCGTTTCTACCACTTTTCCATATGTGTTCACAGGTCTTTTCTTTTTCAGGGTTGGCTTTAATTAAATTTACAGAAAGCTAACGGAACACCAAGCATTAACATATAGCAGTCCTGTATGAACACACTGAACATGTCATGCCCACTCCCCCTCCCCCCATTCTGAGAACAAGATGGAAGGAATGACTGAGCTGTACCAGGAAGGAGAAGGCTAGCCATCAGGAAGCACACTTTCAGGTCAGGTTTGAGGTAACAGACTTCAGAGGAAACAGACTAATAGGGTAGGTGTTTTCTAAAATTAGAGGAGTAAGAATTGGAAAGAAGATGAACAAGGTGGCTTAAAAAATCTCCACTCCTGGGGTGACCTGCAAAGAAAGAAGCCAAACACCCAGTTTAACCCATTTCTGACAGAAAGTTGTTTTACACAGTATTTTCTCTTTTCTTGGGATGAGGGAGGAAGGGGAGATAAGACATAGTTTTGGAATAAGTATTAAGGAGGCATAATTTCAAACTTTAAAACAGCCTGAAACATTCTACTATTCATTTCGTTATTTAGTGGTAAGTTATATAGAATCATAAGTCAGAGGTTTAGTCATAGTTATATTGTGGGTCATGTGACTCAAGAACTTGTTAAGTAGGCCATATTTCTTGAAGGTTTATCCTGTCTCTGGTCTGGTCTGGCTCTTAGTAATCTTAAAATGGAACTTGGCCACATAGTGAGGTATTTAGCACCACTTCCCTACAACTTGCCCGCCTCCCCCTGGCCTCCCCGCTTTGGCAATCGGGCTTCTCCCCCCAGTGCCGCTGGAAGGTGAGGTTTGACTTGGCTCCTGCTAGCATCATCCTCTTGTGCACTGCTGCTTATGTGTTTCAAATGCTGCTGAAGACATGGGTTCTGAGCAGTTTTCTGCAGATCGGGTCTCAGGAAATGTCCCATGGGCATGTTTTCCCCTAGGCCAGGGCTCGTTTCCCTCATTTTTTCTTTCTTTTCTCCTCGTACTTGTAGTGGGGGCTGCGCAATATGAAAAGGAGAAGCATGAGAGGGATGAGAAAGTAGGGGGCATAGAAAGATACGAGGGTTAGTCGTTCGTGGAAAGTCTTGGGTCCTTGTCCTTTGAAACCACTGGCTTTGGAGAAATCCTCAAATAGTAGCACGGACAGAATCGGAATTAAAGTGGTCATCGTGTGGACTGAGTAGATGATTGCAGGAGTGCGGATCCACTTGCAGCCTCCTAGAGTAGTCGGGGAAAAGAAAAAGACAAGCTCTAAGTCTGTTCATGACTCTTCCCAAGAGCCAGAAGTGATATTCTCCACCCTGTTTCTGTTTGCCTACTCCCTTCAGCTCTATCATTCTGCCTCCTCTAAGTGGAAACTCCGAGCAAGCGGGAAAGTGAGTCTGTGTTATACTGCCTAGTACACAAATTTCTGTATGTAACAGCTCAGACCCCAGCTCACTAGCTGTCAAAGAACCAAGGGTGGTGATCTGAAAGATAACTAAGAAAAATTCTAGGGGACTTCCGGTAAGATGGAGGAATAGGCAGACAAGCAATACAGACCCTCTTCAATAAAGAATAGAAAAACCAATTGACAAGAGATATAGAAGATAATCCTGGAGCCCTGAGCTTTGAAAGGAACTATATAGAAGTGGATTAGGCACCAACTAGTGGAAAACCTGAACGAAAACAGTGAGTACAGAGATAGAAATACGGACTGTCAGCTACTCTGATGGGACCAACAGCTTGAATAATTCCAAGTGGTGTTGGGACCTAAGAAGTGACCTAAAGATCAGCCCTGGTCACCAAGGGCTAAAGGGACAACTGTGCTGATGGCCTATGACTAGGAAAGGAAACAGCAAGGAGGGAGACAACCTGAGCTGTTGACTTTCTGCTGTCTGGAGGGCACAGCCATTTTGAATCTTTACAAATGGCAACCATTTTGGATTTTAAAGTGATAGCATTCTCATTTGGATTCCAGGGACCTAAGAATAGGCTCTGTTTGCCAAAGTCGGCAGGAACATACAAGAGGCTGACAGCAGGAAAGGAGACTGGTGGTGAGTGTATAAATGCTGTCAACAAGTTAACAGAGGAGCACAGCACAATACCCTGCTTGCGTAGATAACATACAAACAAAACAAAATGAAAATCGTGGGCAAGTCACTCCAACATACAATCACCAATTAAATATAAACACAAAAACGTCACAATGCCTCAGAGACAACAGAGCATCACAGTCTACACAAAGAAGCAAGATAAAGCAGGAGAAACAAGGGACCAGGAT